ACACCTGGGGCTCCTGTGGGGGTTTCTGGCCATACCTCGAGGCGGAGGCTCCTGTGGGGGTTTCTGGTATACCTCGGGGCAAAGGGAGCTTTCGTCTTTGTTTCTGGAACCTGCTCCTGTAGCACATTTAGCCTAGCGACTCTCACCACAGGACTCACGTCGCAGTCGGGGCATTTTGACGAATTGTGGAAAGCACTGGTAGCCATGGTAACAGACTTGTGTGGTAGCCATGGTAACAGACTTGTGTGGCCTGTGAAATTGCTGATGAGATTTTAACTTGCTTGTTACGGAGAGATTTTTACTGTTGAAGCCGCTATACTGAAAGACATAAAAACTGTATGTAACTAAAAAATATTGATTTTAGAAAACCTCGGTGTATTTTTTACCCTGAGCAGGAGGCTGTAGGTAGCTAGTTTGTGATTCGCTGTTGCCTAGGTAACCGCTTACTCATCAGTTTTGTGGCATCCGCAGGACTAGGGCAGAATGTTGTCTCCTCACAGGAGGCTGCAACCCCCACGCAGGGATGGTATCACCCATTATGACCTCAGGAGGACAGAACCATTATGGTATATAGGGGGGATAGGTTCTTACCACACTTCTCACTCTAACAGTTACCTTGTGATGTACATTGCTGTAGCGGCACACATTTTATGTAGCCCAGAGTTTTAGCCTTTACTTCTTTGCTGCACCCCCACTTTTACTGCTGCATCTTATATTGTATACTCCATAAAAATGGGACAGTCCATGTTGGAGATGGGGGAGGCAGCATGAAGGAGAAATGGATGTAAAAACAGTAGTTTGTGAAAGACCCTCCCCATCTTCATGTGGGATTGGACCGGTCCGATGTGTAAGATGATACGTGGGGAGGGGGCGAAAACAGGACCTGCAGTGGGACCAAATTCTTGTGTGTTGCAATAATGACCTTCATATGACCTTCCTGTGACCTTCATATGACCTTCATATGACCTGTACTTACCGTCCTGTGGGCCGAGAAGGAAACTCTGACCGTAGCTGCCTAGATATTTCCTGTAACCCTAATACAAGCCTTTATTCAACCACTTTAACTAACCAGACATTTCAGTTGTAAGTATTTTGTAAAGAATGTCAATGTACTAAAACTTTTTAAGCCAAGATATTCAAGTCGTGTTGAATTCAAGACCACCTTTATCGCGTTCTAATGATGTTATGTCACGCAAAACCACAACTGGTCACCCACCAGCATCCTTAACAACCTGTCACAACCTGTTAGAACCAGTCACAACCTGTTAGAACCAGTCACAACCTGTTAGAACCAGTCACAACCTGTTAGAACCAGTCACAACCTGTTAAAACCAGTCACAACCTGTTAGAACCAGTCACCTGTTAGAACCAGTTACAACCTGTGTTAGAACCAGTCACAACCTGTTACAACCGCTTAGAACCAGTTACAATCTGTTAGAACCAGTTACGAAAGGTTAAAACAGCATATCTTGAGTTACGCCAGCCAGTAAGAACCAGTTGTGACCTGCCCAAACCAGTAAGATCCAGTTTTACCACAGTGTACCAGTAAAGGATGCTGGTAGGTGCCTGTAGTTGTGGTTTTTCCCGTCCCCCTCCCACACTCGAGCACGGGTAACACTCAGCACATATCACCCTTCGGCAAGCTGACCTTTCAACTCTTGCCACCCTTCAGCCAACCTTTTATTTGTTTACATAAGCTGAGAAATGTGTTACCATGGCGACAACTCGTTGCCGTGACAACGGTGTTACCATGGCGACCACTCGTTGCCGTGCCAATGGTGTTGTTACCATGGCAACCACTCGTTGCCGTGCCAATGGTGGTGTTACCATGGTGACCACTTGTTGCCGTGCCAACGGTGGTGTTACCATGGCAACCATGGTTGCCGTGCCGACGGTGGGTAGGCGGGGACGTAGCATCGTTAGTGATGTAGCTAGGAGCGATCGCCAATGTGACAAGTGCCAACGTCAAACTTTCTCGTCTGTTTTTAGCTGGTGTAAAAGTAGCGAAGCTTGTACACAACATTCTGCCCTTTCTGTGGGTCCTTTCTTTAAGATGGTAACGTAAGGGTCAGGGCTCCTTGAGACATCTTCTAGATGTTCTCAACCAGAAGAACTTGTCTTGTATAGAAACGTGTGCAGCCCGCAAGTGCAATTTAGGCTGGGGTTTCTCCTTCAGGGTCCCAGGCAGGGGGATTCCAAATAGGGGGACCCCAAAACTGTTAGGGCTCTAATAGGGGAATTCTGTGATTGTCTGGGGCTCTGAAAGGGGGATATGATAACTTTTGGGCTCTGAAAGGGGGATCCTGTAACTGTTTGGGGCTCTGAAAGGGGGATCCTGTAACTGTTTGGGCTCTGAAATGGAAATCTTGTAACTGCCTGGGGCTCTGATAGGGGGATCCTGTAACTGGGGCTCTGATAGAGGATGGCTGATACTCCATTTGTTCCTTTGTCTCATTGTCGACACTCCAGCACTTCCTGCTTCCCTCCGAGGCTCCCACAATGCACCAGGCCTACAGTCGGAACCCGGCGAGATTTGAGCCGGGTTAGACGTGAGTCTGCGTCAGACCGGAGCCTCGGGGGGAAGCCCAGCGCGATGTGTTGTCAGCAGACTGATCCACAGTCTGTATTTCTGCATGGAAGACAACAGACTAGACTGGCTAATAAAACTGATGCTTTGGTTTCTCCTAATGACTCCCGCGTCTCGTTTCTCAAATAGGGAAAATAGATGTTTTATTTTTATTCACAAAATAAACATAATATAGACATATAAACATAAAGTGAAATCATCCAAGTGAATGGACTTATGAAGTGCAGTACCTCAAGCTGAGGGTCAGAGGTCATGGACGAGCGGTCTGCTACATCAAGCTGAGGGTCAGAGGTCATCGCTGATGGGTCTGCTACATCAAGCGGAGGGTCAGAGGTCAACCGGAGGCATCCCAGCAAAGATGTGAAAACTGCAGAAATGGAGCTGCAAGCTGGAGTCGGCACAGAGGATGTCAGCTCTGATGTGAAAAATCTCCACATGGAGACAAAACTTACACACAAATAAAACATACACATGATACACACAACATAAATGATTTGCTTGCTACCAGGGTGTCGACATGTCCCAAATTAATGAAATATGCCCCTCCTTTCTTCTGTTATCCTTATATTTTTAAAAATGTACATGCAGTTGTAGACCATTTTCTTCTGACATTAAAGTTTGTCACAAAAGATTAAAGCATGTTGAGGAAGAGGTACCAAAACTAGAAGTTCTGCTGCAGTACCAAAACAAGCCGCCAGGACATCCGAAATCTAATCATTTCTGTTATGTGTCAATAGATGAGCACATACCAAGTTATATGAGAATCTATTCATAGCTAGTTATCGTGCGCACAAAACCACACACACACATGCAAATGCTATCAAAAGCTTAAACCTGTAACCAACGGTAATGACAACTTATTCCCTAGCCCAGAAAGAAAGAAACAAAAAAACACATCAGTTTGTAGATATTGCTATATATAAAGATGAAAGTATTCGAAGTGACAATAAAGATGTAGTTGTACAGGAAATTTTCTACGGTAAAAACATGTTTGACCGCATCTTTCTGCTGCCTTTCCATAAAAAAACCTGTCAGATGAAAAATAGTAGAGAAAAATTGTGTCGTTCTTTAATAAGCGGCTTGGGGAAACCTTTAGACTTCCCGCCGCACATCTGCTTGTAACATAATGACGTCAGGAGCCCTGCGGCCGTACAGAAGCGACACCTACCGTCCGAACTGCAGTTCCCAAGATGGCGGCTGTGTAAACATCATGACGTCATCAGCTCTGCGACCGTGCAGAAGCGAAGCCTGGCGGCGGGACAACAAACTGCAGTTTCCAAGATGGCGGCCGTGTATCTGCAAGAACAAGGGTTTGAGGAGTACGCGCGCGCAAGACGGCTCAGCGAGGAGGTAAGTTCGTAGGTTAAGGAAGGGAAAGGACCCGGGGTTGTTCAAACACGCCGTCTTATTGTCGCTGTTTCTGTTTTCAACGTTAGAAAGAATTACGACATGACCTAGTCGTCGGTGCCCCCCTCCCCACCTAAACACTGACAGGTGTTTATAAAATTATAGAGATATCACGCACGTCTAGGAAGATAACAAGGACAACAACAACAAAAATGTTGTCTTACTCGTAACCGACAGTGCCTGTCTAGTCCTGTATGGGTAGGGTAGGCTCAGACGTGGTCCTGGATAGTCTCTATGATCTATCGTACATGCCGTATCCAGAACCGGGTCCAGAAATATAGTTTCATGTCTGAATAGTGTCACTATCACAGTCAGGCACGGTTCTCGATAGTCTCCGCCTAAACCAAGAACGGAGATCTGACCCAGGCACGGTTCTGGATACATTTGGTCTATCCAGAACCATTTCCTGAGGATTTTATGCTTATATTGTTATAATACGTAATACCCTTAGTCTTTTATTATGCATTGCTTATGGCTACGTCATGCTCATGAGTGTTGCTGTAACCCCCTCAGGAGTCCCGGCAGGACCCGGAGACTGAGCCCTACAGGTCCAAGTACAAAGCACGGGAACTACTACTGGGGCTCAGCGAGGCTCTCAAGGGGTTTCTGGATGAGTCTCAAGCAGAGGAAAATGTTGGTGAGTTCGTCAAGCCTTTTCCAGCTATAATCTTGGTCAGCTTTTTTTTTATTCCAACATTTCATGACTAGACATGGTGACGGCACACTCAAGTTATATCAAGTTATTTTATGCCGCCACCAACGCAGAGAACAAGTACAAGACAGAACAGTGATCATTTTCACCTGAGTGAAGTGAGGAAAGTCGTGTAAACTGCCTTTCCCAAGGGCACAAGATCGGTGTATCTAGTATGTCAGGACTTGAACCCGGGACCTCTTGGTTCCGAATCGAGCACTCTGCCGCTGCCTCTACTGGGTCAGCTTAAGATTCTGGTTCTATCTCAGTGTTTGTTTGTTTGTTTGTTTGTTTGTTTAGAGCTGACCCTGCAGCTGGGTGAGGTGTTTCTCCACCTGGGGTCGAACTTCAGTGACACGGAGGAGGTTCCGACAGGTGAGAAGTATTTCTCCAGGTGTGCCGACCTTCTACAAGGTCACAAGCTGGACCAGCGCTGCGTCAACACCATCCTCACCTGCCTGAACCAGGTGGGCACTTTCACTTTCACCTCACCTGTCTGAACCAGGTGGGCACTTTCACTTTTATCTCACCTGTCTGAACCAGGTGAGCACTTTCACTTTTATCTCACCTGTCTGAATCAGGTGGGCACTTTCACTTTTATGTCACCTGTCTGAATCAGGTGGGCACTTTCACTTTTACCTCACCTGTCTGCACCAGGTGGGCACTTTCACTTTCACCTCACCTGTTTGCACCAGGTGGGCACTTTCACTTTTATCTCACCTGTCTGAATCAGGTGGGCACTTTCACTTTTATCTCACCTGTCTGAACCAGGTGGGCACTTTCACTTTTATCTCACCTTACAGGTGGACACTCTCACTTTTATGTCACCTGTCTGAACCAGGTTGTTTACTGTTTGTGTTGTTTACCATTTGTGTTGTTGTTTACCATTTTTGTTGTTGTTTACCATTTTTGTTGTTGTTTACTGCAGCTGGGGATCCTGTGGGTTTCCCGATCAGAACCAGAGAAGGCCCTGGAGATGCTACAGGTGAGATAAAACTTAAAGATAAAAAAAATGAATAAAAGGACTGAACAGCTGGAAAATTTAACTGTATTTCTGTTGTTACTTGATAAGTTGTTTGCTCTCACAGACACATAACCAGTCCTGTTTCCCCCCCCCCTTGCAGGAAGCTGAGGAACTATACAAAATCTACATGCACAACGTGGGACAACCCCCCCTGCAGCTACATGAGTAAGTGAATTACCCCCTGTTGCTTCTTCAGTAAGTATCCCCCCTGTTTTTTTTGTATTGGTTTTATTCCTACTGGTATACTTTGATGAATGCCTGTGTTGTTGTTCTCCTTTAGACTGCTGAGTCCTGATCCGTTCGGCAGCCCAAAGTCTCGGCTTGCAGAGTTTGAGAAAACTCACACGCTGACTCTCTACTACCTCGCACAGACCTACCCTAAACTGGGGGACAACGAAAAGGTGAGGATACCTCATACCTATGCCAAAAAACAGTTACGCAAGCAACTGGACATGATGTTGGAAATGGTCAGACGTTTCAGGTAGCCACTACCTTTTGTCAGCTAGTGACACTGGAGAGTTCTCAGAAAGGTTTATTAGGCACGAACTCAATCCTACTCCTGCATTGAACATTGATGGAAAGTTAGATCGATTTGTCAAATAAACAGTTACTCAAGCAACTAGCTGGGTATGATTTTGGAAATGGTCAGACGTTTCAGGTAGCATCCACTACCTTTTGTCAGTGACACTGGAGAGTTGTCAGAAAGGAACCAGGAACTATCAACTGATGATGAAAGACCAAAAAGTCCAAAAGGAATCAAATTTTAATGATGAAATATTTGATTCACTGATTAGATAGACTGATTGATTGATTGATTGATTGCTCTGCGCAGTCGGCAGCCTACTGTCACCTGACCCTGAGCCGACAGCTCCAGTCTGGGAACTACCAGCCGCTGGACTGGGCGACAAACTGTGCAACTCTGTCCCAGTACTACATCACACGGGACAACTTTACACAGGGGAGGCACTGTCTAGGTAAGTACCGACTGCACTGTTACACAGGGGAGACACTGTCTGGGTAAGTACTGACTGCACTGTTACACAGGGGAGACACTGTCTGGGTAGGTACCGACTGCACTGTTACACAGGGCAACAAACTGTGCAACTCTGTCCCAGTACTACATCACACGGGACAACTTTACACAGGGGAGGCACTGTCTAGGTAAGTACCGACTGCACTGTTACACAGGGGAGACACTGTCTGGGTAAGTACCGACTGCACTGTTACACAGGGCCACAAACTGTGCAACTCTGTCCCAGTACTACATCACACGGGACAACTTTACACAGGGGAGACACTGTCTGGGTAAGTACCGACTGCACTGTTACACAGAGCAACAAACTGCGCAACTCTGTCCCAGTACTACATCACACGGGATAACTTCACACAGGGGAGACACTGTCTGGGTAGGTACCGACTGCACTGTTACACAGGGCAGGCACTGTCTGGTACTGACTGTACTGTTACACAGGGCAACAAACTGTGCAACTCTGTCCCAGTACTACATCACACGGGACAACTTTACACAGGGGAGACACTGTCTGGGTAGGTACCAACTGCACTGTTACACAGGGCAGGCACTGTCTGGGTAGGTACCGACTGCACTGTCACACAGGGCAACAAACTGTGCAACTCTGTCCCAGTACTACATCACACGGGACAACTTTACTCAGGGCAGACACTGTCTAGGTAAGTACCGACTGCACTGTTACACAGGGGAGACACTGTCTGGGTAGGTACCGACTGTACTGTTACACAGGGGAGGCACTGTCTAGGTAAGTACCGACTGCACTGTTACACAGGGGAGGCACTGTCTGGGTAGGTACCGACTGCACTGTTACATAGGGATAACTTTACACAGGGGAGGCACTGTCTGGGTAAGTTTATTCAACAGTTTATTCATAAAAAAACAGCTTCATAGCCTGTACAAAACATGCTGAACAACACAGTGATTTTTACAGTTGATTGTCTGGCAAATAAAAATTAACATAACAAATTACAAACACAAAAACATTGCAAAAAGCACATGGGCACTAAAGTAAAGACCAGACCATCCTAAGAGTCTTGCTGCAAAGACTTGTTGTACAGGCATATTGCCTTGTGTGAGAAAGTGTTTTTCAGTCTTTTCGTACAGCCGCTGCTTTCACAGGTTTTGTGTGTGATGTCACAGGTTTTGTGTGTGATATCACAGGTTTTGTGTGTGATGTCACAGGTTTTGTGTGTGATGTCACAGGTTTTGTGTTCCAGTGAGCGCGAGCTGTGTGATGTCACAGGTTTTGTGTGTGATGTCACAGGTTATGTGTGTGATGTCGCAGGTTTTGTGTGTGATGTCACAGGTTATGTGTGTGATGTCGCAGGTTTTGTGTGTGATGTCACAGTTCTTGTGTTCCAGAGAGCGCGAGTTGTGTGATGTCACAGGTTTTGTGTGTGATGTCACAGGTTTTGTGTTCCAGAGAGCGCGAGCTGTGTGATGTCACAGGTTTTGTGTGTGATGTCACAGGTTATGTGTGTGATGTCGCAGGTTTTGTGTGTGATGTCACAGTTCTTGTGTTCCAGCGAGCGCGAGTTGTGTGATGTCACAGGTTCCGGAGCCGTGTGACGAGGTGGAGGACGGAGAGAACGAGACAGGGAGGGAGAAACTGGAGCGGAGACGGGCCGACATCGCGCGCTGCTGGCTCAAGTACTGCCTCGTCATGCTGCAGGAATCAAGGTACACGTTTACTCAGCCATTCTCTCACTCACTCACTCATTCTCTCACTCACTCACTCACTCACTCATTCTCTCACTCACTCACTCACTCCTCACTCACTCACTCACTCACTCACTCCTCACTCACTCACTTTCTCTCACTCACTCACTCACTCATTCTCTCACTCACTCACTCACTCACTCACTCATTCTCTCACTCACTCACTCACTCACTCACTCACTCATTCTCTCACTCACTCACTCACTCACTCACTCACTCACTCACTCACTCATCCATCCACATCCATTCATCCACTCACTTCTGTAGTCATCCCTGCCTGGTGCTGCTGGTACCTAGCTTAGACTCTCTCACTCCATTTCTTCCCTTCCTTCCCTCGCTCCAGACAAGCCCTGATGGACGACATCGGTGAGATGGACAGAACGAAGCAGAAGGACCTGGCGGAGGGCCGGGCGGTTGCCAGTAGCAACGGTAGCCATAACGACGACAAACAGGAGAAGCCGGAGGATCCAGAAAATCCAGCAGGTAAGGAAAAAGGGAAGGAATGAAGCAGTGAGGGAGGAGAGAGGGAAGGAATGAAGCAGTGAGGGAGGAGAGAGGGAAGGAATGAAGCAGGGAGGGAGGAGAGAGGGAAGGAATGAAGCAGTGAGGGGGGAGAGAGGGAAGGAATGAAGCAGTGAGGGAGCAGTTGGGAGTTGTTGCAAGCGGGACACATAAGTTTTAACGCAGAGTCAGTCGTTTAAAGCAAAGGAATATATTTTGACCTTCCCCTCCCAGGTGCAGATGGGCCGGCCCGTCACCATGGCGATGAGAAGAGTCTGTTGAGATTTGAGAGTCTGGAGCTGACCTTGGAGGATCAGGTTACGGACAGGAAGGTCACCGACTTCGACCAGGTTAGTGAAGGTTAACCAGGTTAGTGTTATTAACCTGCTCTGCATGTGATGTACCCTGCACTTCATTGGGAACCTGCTAGGTGGCACCCCGTGCAGGTTGTGACTGTTGTTTCTGTATTCTTTAGGCGCGGGGAGTTTTCCTGGTGGGACAGAAGTACGTAAACGCAGCGAAGCAGTTCTACGTGTTGGACGGGCACGTCACTGACTTCGTGGAGATCACACAGGTAAGGTGGGGGGGGGTGGTGTGTGTGTGTTCAGGACTGTGCTTTATCCAGAATGATGCTCAGCCATGGTTCTGGATAGTCCACGCACATCCAGAACCATGCGACTATCCAGAACCATGCCTGGGGCAAATCTATGTTTACTTATTGGATATGCAGAGACTATCCAGAACCGTGCCTGATCCTAACCCTAACCCATTCAGGCATGGAACTATGTAGATAGACACACGTTTCTGGGTACGCTAGGGGGTTCAGGACATGACCCGTCTTGTTATTATGATATTCGTCACTTTCTTTCTCTAAATAGTATCTTCATCTCTCAGCTGTACTTGTTTAAGTCAAGATTTTCTTCCTTAAAGGGAAGTTAAAATCTGCACCCTGCCCCCCCCCAGGACTGGAGTCAGCTGTTCCGAGCACTGTCGTTTTTCGAGCAGGATTTTGAGCGCCGATGTAAGATGCACAAACGTCGTGTGGACATGTTACAGTCCCTCCTGTCTGAACTCAACCAGCAGCATTACCTACTGGTGTGCAGACAGATCATGTACGAAATCGCAGAGACTTTCAGGTGAGATATTCAGACATTCAAGAGTAACATTTCAGGTGCAACTCTGTATACATGTAGTTATCTGCCCATCACCATGGTAACCATCACCATGGTAACCATCACCATGGTAACCATCACCATGGTAACCATCACCATGGTAACCATCACCATGGTAACCATCACCATGGTAGCCATCACCATGGTAGCCATCACCATGGTCACCATCACCATGGTAATCATCACCATGGTAACTGGCCTTTCACCATGGTAACCTGTCCATCACCATGGTAACCAGCCCATCACCATGGTAACCAGTTGTTTCTGTTCCACAGTGAGATGCTGGATTTGAAGGTAGCGATTGCGGAAACAGGAGACGAGAGACCGACGATTCATGCCGTCAAGAAAATCAACACTTTGTGAGTCGAACAGCAGAACTTTTGCAGCTGGTTACTCACATGTTATTCACATGTGTGAACTGGCAGACTGGACACTTATCTTGCATTAGGAAAACATTTTTAGTCAATAATGTTGATCTTGAAGACATATACTCTACAGACAATGCAAACAACAAGTTTGTAGGTATTATGGGTTGTAGAAATTAATTGTTCATGTATTTGTCTTATTTATGCTCTTGTTTATATTTTGTTTGTTGATCTGAAATTTTTATCTCTTCTGCAGGGCCCAGCAGTCCATCGGCCACTACCAGATGTTCCTAGGTAAGGAGCAGCCTTGTCTTGTTGTATAAACATCCTTACAGTGTTCCTTTAAGGAAGACTCTGTCTCCTTGTAAGGTGACAGGTATAAGGGAGATCTTGTCTGGTGTTTTTGTGCCATTGCCATCCTTTTGAGACATTCAAGCTGTGTTAGACTTAAAGCTGGTGAGTTTTGTTGACTCTTCCTTCCTTCCCCCGCCCAGACTCCTTAAGAAATGCGGATAAGGAGATGCCGAAGACGTTTAATGAAGACACCGTCCGGCCGGCTCTGGTCGCACACTTCTGTGTCGGGAGACTGTGAGTACATTTTCACACAACTTCAGTAACTCCTGATTTTTATGTTTTTGGAAGGAAAACATATTGTTTTTGCTCAGTTTCTTCCGTTCCAAACAGTGACCTCTGACCCAGACGGTCTGTCACCATGGTAACTGGTGTTGGGTTACATCATGTTGCAATTTTATAGCAGGAGGGATTTAGACTCCTGTCACCGTACATGTGAATGTGTTTTACTAAGAATTAACAGGGCAGACCATATGCAAAGGTATAAATATTATGCATTTGTCTTGCAAATGTTACCTTTCTAGTCTTCCAATATTATTTCCAGTTTTGTCTCCCTGATGTGTAAAAAGTGTTTCTGTCCTGATGTTTTGTTTTGTTTTGTTTTTCAGATATTCCAAGTTCCTGACCTCTGACCCCCAGCTCAAGCTGCAAAACATGTCCAAAAGGTGTGGATGAGACCACTTACATGGGAGGGGGGGCAGTCATTATATGAGGGCTTGACCATTAATAGTCGGGGGGGGAGGTTTGTGAGGTATATGAGGACTGAACCATTAACATGGAGAGGAAGGGGGGAGGGGCAGTGAGTGTTTGAAGACTTGCCCAGCTGGACCATTTAGATTGAGGTAGTTTGTAGTTCTCATGAGAAACCAGATGCTAACATGTTCCCTCCCTCCCTCCCTCTCTTTTCCTCCCCTCCCCTCCCTTCCCCTCCCTCCCCTCCCTCCTCCAGCCTGGACCACTATCAGTACCTGGTGGACTATTGCACATCTCATCCCGACATCACTGCCGCAGTACAGGTGAGAATGGACCAATCCAGATCAAACACAATCACTGTTCTGTTTCTAGATCTGCACAGAGATGCCCATAGTTTAGGTTTGATCATTACTGAGTCTGTCCTGCTTTACCCTGTGAAGCAAGGTTTGATTATTACTGTCATAGCTTTTTGTTTATTTGTTTATTTGTTTGTTTGCCCACAGAGTGAACTTGAGATCTGCACAGAGATGTCCCAGCTGCTTCCGATTCAGATGGAGAAAATTCGCCTCACGCTGACCTGAGTAAAGAACCCAGCACACTTATGAATCAGCGCAGGGCTGCCCCGGATATTTGGCTACAAACCTAAGCTGTGGCAAAACTGCATTGCAGGAGTCTTGTGGCTACTTTTGCGCTAGACTAGTGGCTACTTGCAGAAGCATCATGCTTCACCTTTGTCAGTTGATGATGACTGCTTTACTTTACTTTACTGTCCTGCTTGTTGTTGGAGCCTTTCTAAAAACACCAAAATACAGTTAAACACTGGCAAGACAACCAATGTTGCAATGTCGCAATTATACACTGAGTATATATCAAACCCTGGCAAGACACAATGTTGCAATTAGTGTAACCCAGCACCGAGAGACCATGATTGTCTAGTGAAATAATTAGGCCTTAAGGCACAGAACAACTGTTTTACTCATTGTGAATTACATCATCCACATCATCATGAATGAATGGATGGATGGATGAATGGATGGATGAACCAATGGATGGATGGATGGATGAATGGCCAGCATTGTAGGAATGGAAATTTTGATTGGCCAACTGAGGAATGGGGGGGAGGGGGAGATATTTCTCCTTGTCATCATCATTCTGCCTCCATGTGTTGGCAAAGTCACTTCTGTTGATCTCCATGTCTCTTGGATTCCCAAATGCTGACTGGATTTTAGGCCACCTGAAGGTTTTATCTTACTCCCGATCCCTTATAACTGTACATACTGAACAATTATAGACTGTTGTTGTGTACATCCTTGGCTTCACTTCTTTATTAATTTAATTTTATAATTATTTGGCTTCTCCATTGGAAGGAGACAAAACAGGTGATTGCTGACGCCTCCGCTTGTCTCCCCTGCAAGAAATAAGGTACCTGTACCTGTTCTACAAGTACATGTACGTAGACGTCATATGAACATCAGCAAATGTTGTGGTTGTGAGACACTAAAGCGGTGCTCTGGGGTCGGCCTTGAGTCTTGTTTCATTATGTACGTGCGAGTTTAGAGTTACACTATAAGATAGTTTAAAACATACCAGTTACTGGTAGTCTCCATACATACTCATACATCACTTCAGTGACACACAGATGTGGTGTTGTTCTGTAGACTAACGCAGTCATCCTTGTTGCAGAATTCTTAAAAACACTTTGAAACATCTGCAAATAGTGTGATTGTCAAGCTAGTCACTGAGTTAGGTAGGTGGTTAATATATAATAGGAACAATAGTGGCATAAGCAAGCAAATAGATGCATACCTAAACTCAATTTTAGGTTCAGGTCAGGATTCAAGTCCAGAGGTTTAGGTTCAGTTCCGGACTTGTAAGCCTGGACCTAAACCCATGGCATATACAAAATTGCAAGTTGGCAACTTGCAATGTTGTATGGGCAAAACTGTGGCCACATAACATGGAGGCCGGTACTTGACGATGCCCGATGGCAATGTTTTCTTCATTTTGCAGCAAAGATTTTAGGTGGTTTGGAAAGAAAAGGGGTATGTGAAATGGTCTTTTATGGTAATAAGTCCGGACTCGGTTCTTGACTTTTAGGTTTTTTTGGACTTGGACCTAAACATTCTTACAAGTCCGGATCCAAGTCCAGTGAACCGGTGCACAGCACTACAAGCAAAAAAGACACATTCCAGGTTTTTTTTATGAGTCAACATTTTCTCATTTTATTCTGTGGTACCTACAGCTATATAACGGATCAAGTTTTAATGTTGCTATTTACATGTAGCGAAACCTGACGGCTTATTTTCTACTGTAGCGTTCATGTAGCAAATTACGACTGTCCACATTTTATTTCTGATAGTGGAAATGTCTACCGAGGTTCCGGCTTTATCCAGCAAATTATAAAAGTTCACTTACAAAACAAAAGGTACATTTCTCCTCAGCTAGGTACTATAAACAATGTGGTACATTTCCCCCCCAGTTGTACTACAGAAACATGGTACACTTCCCCTCAGCTAGGTACTATTAACACCATGGTACATATCCTGTCAGTTGTACAAGAGTGAGTACTGCAGTACAGAAACTACATGGTACTACAGAAACATGGTACATTTCCCCCCAGTTGTACTACAGGTACTATATTGTACATACATATACATGTATCCCTTTAGTTGTAGATTATGGTAGACAACAGAAACACCATGGTAACGGCTGTAATGTGACACCAATTGTAACAAACTACAAACAGAAGTGATGCTTGAGAACTGGATAGTTTATTTGCACGGAACCGAAACAAAAATTTTAACATCTTCAGATTTCATTTTCTTCTGTATGAAAAGTTCCTAATGCCCCAGCTGGATACAGCTATGTTAGTTAGGAGAAAACTAAAAACTAGCGACAGCCACCTTATATGGTTTGGCTACAGTTCTGCAGGATCAACAGCCATCTTCTCACTACTGCGTACATCTGGGTTCTGATTGGCTACTTGGTCAGACAGCTGTTTTTCTAGCTGGAGATCTGTGGAGACTGGAACGCTCGGCAGCGAATCAAGCCTGAAGGAACAAAACAAGAAAAATACAACAAAATTGGTCAGAGAAAAATATTGCAAACAAGCTTGTTGTAACAGTGGGGGGTTTATAGACGCTACCAACTGATCCTGTGATGGGTCTAGACCTTTTAGCCGAGTCGTTAGAGCGTCGGGGTCTAAACTGGTGCCCGGGTTTGGCGTGGGCTCGAACCCTGGCCAGGGACCAGGAGTGTCTTTCTGTTTCTACTCTCCTGATTCTTACACTGTGTTCAGTGATTTCTGTACAAACTTTCAGCCAGTTTCAAACATGCATGCTGCAAGACAGTTTACATGTAGGATAAGTTAGCCAATCAATCAACTTCATTGCTCAGCAACTGTAACTGGTACAATGTATGGCAAAAAGGAAACAAAATACATGAACTAATGGTAGTGATTAGTAGATAGAAGCTCAGGCAGAAATGAAAGTTAACATAACACTCACTTCAGCACATCTGTCCCGCTGGTTGGCGCGCTCAGGGGCCCCGCGATTGGTCCAGTCTGTCTGTCTCCTGCCTCTTCTGGCTGTTCCTGCATCTGCTGCTCCTCCCCACCTGGCTGTTCCACCTGCTGCTGCCCCCCCTCCCCGGACCGTCTCCGGATGCTGCCAGCTGCGAATCTGCGGAAAGGAGGAAACAAAGATGGAGAAACTGTTACATGTCTGCAAGGAGGAAAGGAAGGAAGAAACATCAATGGAGGGAGGAAGAAACTGACACATTTACAGGTAACAAGGACAGGTGTGTAAGTATGACGATGGGTAACAAGAACAGGGGTGCAAGAAAGATGACATGTACCTGTTTGGGCCGCTCCTCCCGAGTTCTCTTTCTCCTCCTCCTGTCCTGTTGCCATGGCAACGTCCTTGGGCTGTTCCGCGGCTGCTGATTGGTTGGTTCTGTGGGCGGAGTGGGCGTGAGCCTCGCTATCGTGCAGCAGCAGCATGGACTTGTATTTACTGTACAGGAACTCTGCTTTCTGCTGCACGGCCTCCGAACCTTTGTACTTCCTAACCTGCAGGGCAAAGGGCAAAGGTCAGGGTCATGTACAGGGGCAAAGGGCAGAGGTTAGAGTATAAAACAGCATAGACTCTACAGGTCTGTGCAGCTTGGTTGATGTTTTAAGTTCTCAACCATTTGCTTTACTTGTTAAGACTGACCCTTTGTTGGTAAGTTAGGATGTTTGTGACTGACCCTTTTGATGGTTCTGAGGATGTCGATGTTCCTCTTGAGCATGGCGGCCGTCAGCGGCAGCGAGTTCAGCTCATCCAGAACCTCCAGGCTGCGCGGAATGTCCTACACAAACGGGAAAAACATCAGGAATGTCCTAAACAAACAGACGAGAGGAATGTGAGCTACGGAAACATCCGGGACAAACGTCAGGCACACAAAACATCACCTCGTCCTGTTCTAGTTTGCAGTGTTTGCCTTGACTCAAGATGATGCCAAACACAGAAATGTTGGCCAAAACATGCCTGATAACCATTGAAATACAAAAAAAGTAACAGAAACAGCCTTAGCTCATCCTCAAGTAGAAGGGGGTTCAAGGACCACATCAGAAGGGGCCACAGAAGGGGCCATACTTACTTGAGGGGCCACACAAGGGTTATACTTACAGGAGCGGAGAGCTGGAGAGACAAGACGAGCGCCGCTTGCAGCTTTCTGACGTGATCCTCGACCAACTCTGCAACAAACCCATCATTGCTCAGTGCAGTTTGCACAGAAACTGCTAGGTGGCCGGGGCAGCAAATGTGCTGGTGTCTCACACCAACGTTACCCTTGATTCAATCCTAATATGGATGTGTGCCTCACACCAACGTTGCCTTTGATTCAATCTAAATAGTTGATGTGTTTTGGGAAGAATTTGCATGAATGAAGCAATTTTCAAGCTGTCCCAGATTTCCTCAAGGGTCAGGAGACACCAGCACACTTGCCTCCCCTAGTGGCCGTAGTACGAAATGCAGACTTACAGCTTTACCAGCCATGAGAGACCTCTTCAACGACTGGACCAGCTCAGTCACTGTGGCATCTAGGCTCATGGCTGCAGTACACAACAAAACTGTTAGGGGGAGCTAAAACAGTGCCAAGTGCTGGTCAGCTCAGTCAATGTACAACCTTAACTCATGGCTGCAGTACACAATAATATCACTAGGGGGCTTAGCTGTTGGGCATCATTCACTTTTAGACAGATGCAGTACCCACATAGGAACCCAGGGGGCCTCGTTGATCCTACCAACATTACCTCAGCTGAGCCTTTGTGACTTTCAAATGCGGGTCACTAACACCTTTGTAGTTTGTGAGATGCACAGAGAACTAAGATATCTAGAGAAATTTCCTCACCTTTTTTCTTCTCCTGCTTTTCCTGCTTCTTTTGCTCCATTTTCTGCTCCAGTTTCAAACGTTTCTTCTTCTCTTTTTCCAGGAATTTATCTTGTCTGCAAAAGAGAAAAACAACTTTAGTACATACAAAAAATACCACATAATACCACACAACTCCCTGGCAAAAAAATCAAACACTCCTAAATAAGAGAGGACAAGTCAAGGATTATTAACAGCTTTTTTTTTTACCTCTTTTTCTCCATTTTTTGTCTCTTCAGTTCCTCCTTTCTGTCATCTACAGCTGCAGCCTTGCTTTCACCGTCCTGCAATACACAACCAAACAGTCAGGGGGTGCTATTCTCAATCCAATTTTGGTCCAACTTTTCCCCAGATTTCCATGAATCAGTTTGAAAGCACAAATCAAGTTTAGGTTGGTTAAAATTTCAGTATTTGTAAAGTTAACGCCTGACAAACGTTTCTCACTTGTTCTTCCTCTGATTCTTCTGCCTCCTCCTGTCTTTTCTCTTCCTCTCTCTTTTTCCTTCTCTCTTCTTCCTTCTTTCTGCGTTTTTCTTGTTCCTTCTTTATTCTCTGGTCCTTTTCCTCGTCCCTCTTCTTCTTCTCCTCCTTCTTCCTTTCCCGGATTTCTGCTTTCTTGTCATCTTTTGATGTCTTCTCTTTCGACTTTTCTTCTCTCTTGTTCACTTCCTTCCGTTTGTCGTCTTTTGTTTCCTCCTTCTGCTTCTTTCGTTCCTCCTGTTCCTGTAAAGGAAACAACATCCTTCATTTCTGGTCTGTTACCATGACAACGGGATCTTTTTCCGAACATGTTACCATGACAACATGAGCCCCATCACATTACCATGACAACATGAGCCCCATCATGTTACCATGACAACATGAGCCCCATCATATTACCATGACAACATGAGCCCCATCAGGTTACCGTGACATGTTACCATGACAACATAAGCCCCATCAGGTTACCATGACAACATAAGCCCCATCAGGTTACCATGACAACATGAGCCCCATCATGTTACCATGACAACATGACAGCATTTTAGGTTACCATGACAACCTGAATGCAGCTGACCTGTTTTTTTCTCTCCTTCCTCTCCTCCTTCAGCTGCCTCGCTGCCTCCTTCTCTCGTTCCCGCTGTTTCTTCTCCTCCTCCTCCTGGGCGACTCGCAGCTTCTCCTCAGCCTCCTTCCTGCGCAGAGCTTCCTGCTTCTTCCAACTGCTGACTACCTCCCCTTCCGAGTCACTAAATAAATAAACAAACAAACATCAGTGCAGAACCTCCTGCTTCTTCCAACTGCTGACTACCTCCCCTTCCGAGTCACTAAATAAATAAACAAACAAACATCAGTGCAGAACCTCCTGCTTCTTCCAACTGCTGACTACCTCCCCTTCCGAGTCACTAAACAAACAAACAAACAAACAAACAAACATCAGCGCAGAGCTTCCTGCTTCTTCCAACTGCTAACTACCTCTCCTTCCGAGTCACTAAACAAACAAACAAACAAACAAACAAACAAACATCAGCGCACAACAAACAAACAAACAAACAAACCTTTGCAGGCTTCCTGCTTCTTCCAACTTCTCCTTTTGAGTCACTAAACAAACTTGTTTATGATTATTTACTAGTTTACCAGTAGTTATTTACCTGTTGTTGCTTGAGTCGGAGGAGAGGGAGGGGGGCGTTCCCGGGTCCGGTTTCTTCGCTCGAGCGCGAGGCTTGGCGGGCGGGCGGCTGCCGGCGGGTTTACGGGCTGGTAGAGAACAATAGCAGGCATAAATAATCTACAAACATCCACTATCAAACAAACATAACAACACAGGTAACACCCATGGCAAGGGAAAAACAACATTTCCATAAAAGTTTGCACCTGCCTAACCAGGTGTGTTAGTGCACAGGTAAGTTCCTCACCTTTCTTCTCAGGTGTCTTTTTTTTCTTGGGTTTTGGTTTTTCCTCTGGTTCCTCCTCAGAGCTGTCCTTGCTGACCTCTGACCCCTCCTCCTGCTCGTCGCTGACCTCCGACCCCGAGCTGCTCGCCGCTTTTTTCCGTCCGCGTTTCTTGGCAGGTTTCTTCTCAGGGACAAAGTCCTGGGGTCATCACAGGTCAGGTCAACACAGGTCAGGTCAACACAGGTCAGGTCAACACAGGTCAGGTCAACACAGGTCAGGTCAAAACGGTCTGACTTCTTTCTCTTACTAAAAAAACTTCCTTACTAGAACATCTGCTACATTACTGCTACATGGAATTCTGCTACATTACTGCTACCTTACTGCCACATTACAGCTACACCACTGCTACATTACTGCCACATTACTGCCACATTACTACAACATTACTCCACACGTAGTTTCCCCACCTCGTCCTCGGAGGTGTCCTCGTCAGGACCGCTCTCCTCGTCATAATCCACCTCCTCCTCCTCACTCTCCTCCGCAGCCTCTGATTGGTCAGAATCAGGGTCACTCTTCTTCCTCCGCTTCGCTGGGGCCTTCTGGGAAGGGAAAGTGAAAGTTATTTGGCACCTTCTCAGTTGAAAGTGTTAGAACGTGAAAGTGGTTGACACTTTCTCAGAATGGGAAAGTGAAAGTGGTTTGATACCTTCTCAGAATCAGCTGCTCCTTTCCTCTTCCTGGCTGCTGCCGGCTTCTTCTTGTCGGCCTTCGTGAGAGAAACAAAAAGTGGATAAACAATCAATCAAGCATTTTGTATTCTCAGGAGAGTGAAGAAAACCTCTCTCTTTACCCAGAAATGCCTCAATGAATGTTACAGATTCAAATGTCTCACCTCAACAATAGAGAAACCAAACCCTAACCCTGTAAAACCAGCAATGTACGACCCCTTCACCTTTTTCGGCCGAGCGGCCGGATCCTCGTCTATCACAAGCTTCTCCTCATCCTCATCCTCCTCCTCATCTTTACTCCCAGCATCCTCCTCTTCCCCCTCCTCCTCTGACCCTGAAGGCTCCTCCTGGGGTTCGGCAGACAAGTAAAAATAAGATAAAGATGATCAGCTTCCAATGTCTAACCCTCGCTGCAGGAACAACAGACAAATAAACCGGATAGAAAGAGAAAGACCCAAACAAGTTGGCAGACAAAAACCAGCTTCAGAACTCCCTAAACTCACATTTCCTGCGAACTTGACCGTCGGGTTGTTCTCCGCCTCCCAGAGAGCCTCGTTAAAGAACTTCCGTTTCTGCTGTTTCCCGTATCGTTCCTTAAACTCATGGAACGGCAGGATGTCCTTCGGCCCAAGGACGGCACTGGGGACAGGAAATTACATCATTATGTACAAAGATCAACAGGAAATGACATCAGGAGATAAACAAGGGTCATGAGTTATGGAGACTGTCAGAAATTTGATGACACTGCAAATTAACATGCAGGCCTAATTTAGTAATTAAGCACTTCTAAGGTTCCTTACGTTTCGTAGGTGCCGAAGAAGAAGATGGGATACTTGTTTCCTGGCGGCTTCACAGCTCCTTCTGGTAACTCGTCAATCTGCAGGGAAGAGACAGAAACTGGAAAATTTACCTCCTGTAAAAACACAAATGTTAAAACTAACAAACTATTACAGGGTGTGAATGGGAGGCAAAACTTGAATGAAAACATGAACTAAAACGTTTTCTACCTTCCCATGTACACCTCAAATCCTTTTAACCGTCCACGTACACCTGTGCTTACAAGTTAAACCTCGCATAATAATTTTGTGGGCGTAATTTTTGGTGAAATGAAACCAGCGTGGGTTAGTGTGGGGAGGGGGGCGGTTTTGTTATTATTATTCAGGTCTCAGCATTATGCTTAAGTTAACGCGATCACAACAAAACACGGACGATTCTTGCTGTTCTGTCTAACACAGGAAGACTGTACTTTACACCAGGGTTCTCTGTTCTTAGAGTAACAGGAAAACAGGAGAGTATCTCACCCTAGCCGGCCAGTGGGGATATCCCTTCACTTTAGCGAAGATCAGATCACCTGGCTTGTAGTCTTTCTCAGAAACTTTCTTGAACTTGGACGCCATTTTGGAACTTTCTGACGAGAGCTAACTAAAAGATCCGGGATCGGGGTCCTCTAGCCTCCGGGCTGGGCGCTGCTGATGACTTTGGGCGGCTTTTCTGGGGCAGAACTTTGCGAAGTTTTTATCCAAACGCCGAAATTTGGCTTCACTTCGACACAGTCGGCGCCATTTCGCGACTCTCGTTTTCTCTCGCGAGAACTGAAGACATCCAACCGCAGGAAAAATATAAAAAAGAACCACAACATGACAGAGTTTTGCACGAACCTTCCTAATAAATGTGAAATAAGATCACAAAAGACAGTTTTGGTATGTTGAAATTTAGATTTTGCCACCAAACTATTCGCCTATGGGGTAAATATCTTGGAATTCTTTTAGTGGTAACCATTATTTTACACGTTATGACGCGGTGGCAGGATTTCGCGGGAAAATTTGTCAGACGATCCGAAAAGTTTTTCTGAACTCCGGACGACATTTCCGACAGAAAAGGGGCCATTCTGACAGGAAAGGGGTAAGTTTGAGCGAGTTTCTGTTCACAGAATACAGACAGGGTAGAGGCAAGTTGTGGGGGAACTGTAGTATTCATACATTACGCGTTTTAGCTCTAAAAATTATGTTGACTGACAGAAAGTTACGGAGTACCTACTCTCCAAGCAGATGATACGGTGACCTGGCAAATTGGATGCCGTTTTTCTGGTTAATTTGTTGTTAATTGTTGTCGTTGCGTAACGTCTATGATGTAGCCGTGGTCTCTGGGTGCCGGTTTCACTTGGTTAATGTTCATCAATGTTCTCGGAAGGTTTTTAATGCAGGATTTTGCATTTTTGCCATCACAACATCTGCTTGGACATTACAGTGTACCTTCCCAAGGGCAGCACTGCAGTTTCTCAGTTCTACATCTGACATTATGGCGAGTTTTATCCTGGAGAAGAAGCCGACCATTTTTTCCAGAGGAAATTTGTTTATTCCTGTCAGTTTTAACTTTTACCCAAGGATACACAGCTCACAGTGATTGGCACTGCATCATACTGTAGATAAACATTGACAAGTATGCATAACTGCATGTCACATGCAAAACAAACAGTAACAGTCATATGGTAATGGTAATGATAAACAATAACAATGATAGCAATAATAACTGATGATAATGATAACAATAGTGATCAGGTGTTTTTCTAAACAGGGGAACAAGGGCGCTGCGCCCTCATGTAACAAGCTAGCGCCCTCATATCAATTTTCAGGTTGAAGCCTAGGTCTTTTTCAAAATTATCTTTTTCCAGTAAAAATACAAAAACAACACCACATAACAATGTATTCTAGCATTACAAACTATGTTACTCTCATGAAAATTCCAAAATCTTCCCACAAACATGAAAATTTAGCTCTAGTAGTAAAAGTGTGAATGGAGTAAACATAGTTCATTGAGAACTTGCCCAAAGACTACAAGTAAGCCTCCTTCATTTGCATACTATAGAACAGGCTCTGAAGTGAAACATGAGACCTGAGTTTGTAGCAGCTTGGATGAAGGTGTTGCAATGTTTGCCATGTGAAAGGTTTGAGCTTGTGGCAAACCCAATGTTGTTATCTGGAGCTACTAGTAACAGTGTAAGTGTATATAAAGGGTGATTTGCACATTGTGTGTACTGTTGATTGTACTTATATTTTATAAAGGAAATATGCAATGCATGAATAGAAATTTAGGAAAGATATTGACAAAAAAACATTGAATTATTTTAGTCTATCTATCCTTCTCCTATGGCTTTTACATACATTATTAGTACTGGAAATTTGTATTGAGCATTGTATCTAGCATTTTGTGCAAGCTAAAATAGCCTTTGAAGGTGTTGTAAAATCCAAGTAAACAGACCTTTTTCACAATCATAGTTGTTTATTTTCAAAGAAACATACAATGAAAGAGTTCAAATTTTCCCCCTCAAGTAGCCTCAAACTGTCCCATTTCAACTTCAAATTTTCGAAGGCTCCACATGGCGGAAGGGGGGAAACCCCCTTCCGCACCAACCCCCCTCGGTCGCTTCGCTCCCTCGCTGTGATACCGCTCCCTCATGCCAGATTTTTCTAGAAAAAACCCTGGTGATTGTCCATTCCATACCAATAGCTCCTACCTTACTAATAACCTCATGATTTTGTCCCGTCTGTTTCACTTGTCCAGGATCAGCATGAAGACCAGGAACAGCAAACAGTCAGCTGTGCAGGCTGTCCTCACCATAGCTACCAGAGGCAGGATCACCTTCTCCCCACCTGTCAGGAAGGACGAACAGACGGTCCAGGTGGTCCATCCTCCTCCTCCTCCTCCATCAGCAGAGGATGCTGGGGGCATCGGGCAGCGGCTGAGGAAGAGGAGAAGTGATGCTGGGGAAGGAGAAATGGGTGGTCCCCGGCAGCAGGAGAAGGGTCAGGGCAAGGTCAAGCCCAGAGAGGAGCAAGGTCAGGGTCAGGTCAAGCCGGGAAAGGAGCAGGGTCAATGTCAGGTTCAGAGCAGGCTGAAGCCCAGCAGGAGGAAGAGGAAGTTGGCAGAAGAAGATGAAGACTGGGAGGATTCTGGTGATGATTCTGAGTGGGAGGAGTCTGGTTGGGAGGACAGCTCAGGTGTGGTGGGGACGATGCCGGTCCTACGACAGGTATATGATGTGGATATTTGTGTTAACTTAATGCTGTGTAAATAAATGTTTAATGAATTTGCATGTACAACTGCATGTAATTCAGCCCTTGGCTGCAAAGTCCATGTTTTTATGAATAAAACACCATTTGATTGATTGATTGATTGACAGGTGAGGTTCCCGGCTCCACCTGCAGGCGAGTCGGAGGAGGACAGGAGGAGGAGGGAGCAGCAGGAGGAGGCAGAGGTAACCGGCTACGGATTTTACTGTCGGCTACTGTTGTTTACTGTCATCTACTGTTGGTTACTGGCAGCTACTGTTGGTTACTGTTGGTTACTGTCATCTACTGTTGGTTGCTGTCATCTATTGTTGGTTATTGTCAGTAACTGTTATTACTGACTTACTCTTGTTTTTTTCCCTTTAGAGAAAGAAGGCCTGGGCAGAATGGCAGTTTGCTGCAGCCACGGAGAGAAACAGAATCCGCGCAGAGCACGACAGGAAAGCCGTGCAACGGGAGCTGATGCACCGCAGATGGTAGGCATCAATCTGCCATAACTTGAGAGCCTTTTTCCCCTCAGACACAGTTACTGAACACATTTCAATCTGCCATTATAACATCATAACCTGAGAGCCATTTTTCATTTTTCTAGGCTGAGGAGTCTGAGTAAAACGGAGAGGAAGAAACATCTAAGGAAAGCCAAGAAACAGGAAAGTTTGGCCGGTAAGTGCGATAACCTTCGTCTTTTAGCAATTTGACTTTAAAAACAACCAGATCTTATAGTTTGTGAGGCTTGTAATTGCAATAACTGCAATGTTGCAGGTTTTATGTAGTAGTATATTGTATGACATGCAGTTGTCCGAATAAGAAAAGTTACAATAATGGCTGCCTTGTTTCCTCTTGTGCTCGGCACTGATAATGCCTGGCTTGTTTGTTTATTTGTTTGTTTGTTTCCTGTGCTCAGCGCTGCGGGCTGAGAAGACCCTGCTAGAGCTGCACTCTGACCTGGTCTCTGCTCTGCAAGTCGGAAACATCGTGAGTAACCTTCATTTTAGCTAACCAAAGTGTGATTTTAGATTTGCCATGATGACAGATGTCTGGATTCTCCAAAAGAAAATTAGAAGATGTTCTAAATTTGTAATGACCGTTTATAAATCTCCCATGTTGTTCTGACTGACCAATGTCTGAATTCTCCCCTCAGGACTGACCAATGTCTGAATTCTCCCCCCAGGACATCCCCCGTGCAGTCTCCGTGCTGAAGAATTTGCGGGATGTTGTCCTGACCCAAAGACTCCTGACCGACCAGCCGGCTATTGTATACACACTTGAAAAGGTCAGCAACTTGTTCTTTCCTAGAACTATCGCCTGAAGTACAGTAGTACATGTACAAGTACAGTATAAGTATACAGATACAGCAACAAGTTTCCCCAAACAGTGCCACTGACTTTTGTCAGAACTCGTATGCTGATGCTGACCAATGTCTGAATTCTCCCCTCGTGCTGCTGACCAATGCTCTGTCCTGGTTTAGGCGCGAGAGTTTGTGGGGAGCCGACAGGTCCAGAAGCTGGCCGACCGGCTGTTCATGTCCTGCCGCGTGCCTTTCTGCTGACACTGACCAATGTTTGATTTCTCTCTCCTTGTGCTGCTGACCAATGTCTGATTTCTCCCCTTGTGCTGCTGACCAATGATCTGCTCTGTCCTGTTCCAGGCGCGAGAGTTTGCGGGAAGCCGACAGGTGCAGAAGCTTGCCGACCGGCTGTTCATGTCCTGCCGCGTGCCTTTCTGCTGACACTGACCAATGTTTGATTTCTCTCTCCTTGTGCTGCTGACCAATGTCTGATTTCTCCCCTTGTGCTGCTGACCAATGATCTGCTCTGTCCTGTTCCAGGTGCGAGAGTTCCCGGGAAGCCGACAGGTGCAGAAGCTGGCTGACCGGCTGTTCATGTCCTGCCGCGTGCCTTTCTGCTGACGCTGACCAAAATGTCTGATTTCTCTCTTCTGTGCTGCTGACCAATGTCTGAATTCTCTCCTTATGCTGCTGACCAATGCTGTGTTCTGACACTGACCAATGCTCTGCTCTGTCCTTCCTTAGGTGCGAGAGTTCACAGGGAGTCGGCAGATACAGAAGCTGGCTGACCGGCTGTTCATGTCCTGCCGCGTGCCCTTCATGGTGTACGAGGGGGAGACCTTCCTCCAGGCCTTCGAAAGGAGCCGGAAAAATCTGCTGGAGAAGGATGCAAGAATCTTGGAGGAGAAATTCGCCCGCAAAGCTGACAGAGGTGGGGATATACATTGTACCGATAGTTTTTCTAGCCGCTAGAGATGCAAACATGTTAGTTTTTCTAGCTGCTAGAGTTGTTGACATTATAGCTGCTATGGGTGTGGATTATATAATAGTTTCTCTGGCTGCTGAATGTGGGAATATAGTTTTGTGGTACTTTCTATACCTTTGGTCTTTTGTATGGTTGTCTACTGTGAGTCGTGGGTCCAGAATGTTGCATTCTTCCCTTTCCAGCTTTAAAAAAGATGCAAGAAACCGCAGGAGACCAGGTGGTACCGGGTGAACAACCCACCCTCCCTAACCCGGCTAACACCCAGGACACAGAAGCTGTGGTACCCGGACTGTAAGCATTACCTTAATTTAGAACTCTTGCAAATGAAATAGAGGGTTACGAAAAAGGAACTGAAATGTTGACCCAACCCAAACCCACCCTGATATTGTGGATGTCATGACCTTAGTATCCTTCCTGTTACCACGTTCTCTTCATGTGACTTACAGAAGTCTGTTGTTCTATATAATATTATGCGCTTGTGACTGATTTTAGTTGGTTGTTCTGTATAATATAAATATGCGCTTGTGAGTTACAGAAGTTGTTCAATACCACACAAGATCCACAGAATATCCAGGTTGGCAGCACACACATGTAGCGGTCTAGGTGACATTCTTGTGTCGATAGTTTAATGGACAATAAAATCAACATTATCCTCTTTCACAAGGGTGAAGCTTCAGTAATGTCAGTTGAGGAAACTTCTTTCCTTCCTAGTTGTTACAGTTTGTCCATCAGCTATAAATGCAGTGGTTTGATTAAAAGTTCAGACTTCATTGTTTAATTATTAACCCATTATTTTGTGTTGACTTCTTGTTCTCTACCATAGCATTTGGGGAGCTATAATAGGATGCCTAGACCAGTTATTATTTTTTCCGCCCTGTCACTTCATATTTTTTCTGAAAAAATCGACAAGCCAACAAAATTAAATTGGTGTGGCCTTATGCACGCACATGCACACACTCTCACACCATCATGTATACACCCTAACACATGCTATTCCACCACTATCTTGGCACACTCATTGTATCTTTTGGAAAGAAAACAAAAACAAGTTGACAAACATCTCTTTATTGCGCATAAAAGTATTTTGTTTGCTGCATAATTAAACAATACAACATCATAATTTCAACTTCGATACATACATCGTAACTGTTTGTTATTTTCATAAAATGCTGATTGCACTTAAGCCCCTTAAGATCTGCACTTAAGATCTTTTTCTTCTGTCAGAGGGTAACTTCATGTTCATGTAAATAAATGATATATGAAGTGAAAAAACGATTAAACAAAAATACTACTTAGTATACAGTGGGTGAGTTACACAAAAAGAATATGAGCAGGAAAATTCCTGCCCTGGCAAAGGTTTCTATTTAATATACACATTCGCATCTATTGGTTAGGGAGGTTGGGAGCATCACTTATTTACCAGACTAAGTACATAATAAACATCACCATAACATCAATGAGAAAAAATACACTTTTTCTTTGCTCAAATCAGCATCATTTCAGCAAATTTCAGCATCATTGCCGTTTTTCATTTTTCAACATTGACCATAGTTTTTAGGAGCTACAGTATTTCCATGTACCTTATGACTGCATGGGTATACATATAAGCCACCTGTGTGATTGTACATATAAGCCACCTGTGTGATTGCTGTCTGTAGGCTGAATTAATTATGTTTCAGAAGGCACTGGTAATGATGGTACGGAATGTTACGTGTCATCATCTTCTTTCTTAATTATTTACACCATTTGCATGTCCGTTAACTGTATTTTGTTCAGTTTGTCAGTCTGTGCCTCTGTGGCCTTGAGTTACATACAACATTTTGCATGTTCTTCTGGTGCCTTACACCCCTACATGCACATTAAGGAGACACCCCTACATGCACATAAAGGAGACACCCCTACATGCACATAAAGGAGACACCCCGACATGCACATAAAGGAGAAGGCACATAACTTATTTCATCCAGTCATTCATTCCAACAGAGCTGGAGTTTATAAGTGTTTCCACCATAAATTTTCGAGGCATATACAAGTTACTATTTCAGGCATATTATTTTTATAACATGAGAAATGCATTTGGTCACAAGTCAGGCATATTAGTACTTAATAAAACTTTTAAAATGTTAGGACATTTGGTATCAAAATTACAGCAACTATAAATGAAAGTTTATCTCCAAATATACATAGTATTACTTAGTTTATGCTAGTTTATCAAGACTATATTTAAAACTAAATTTCCTCCTTGCAGATTGTCAAGTTTTCCTTTGGTCCCAGGAATTATAAATGTTAAATGAAATCTTTGGAAACAGTAAAATATTGATTGCATTGATAGTTTCCAATAATTGATCCATAAAATCTGTTCCACACTGATCATCTCTGCAACATTGACTCATCGATCTATTGATTATCAGTAATTGATAAATATTAGCTCACTAATGTTACCATGATAAAATGATTTGAAAATGTGCAATTTTTCTTTGATCAGAATTCTGAATCAACTCTATTGTTAAAGCAAGTGGCTTCATCAAATTGATTGTCTTTTATTTTTTTGTTACATTGCAGGTAGTACAAACAACAAATAATGGTTTAGTTAATACTTTTCAATCAGGTGCAACACTACAAGGTTTGATTCGCAGTAAAAAAAAAGGAAATCTAAAACAAAATGAAAAATTAGCAGGCAAAGTAGTCAGAGGTTACGGTTAAGTGATAATATATAGTGGAGTAAACCTTTAAGAAAAGTGTAAAATAGAATAAAAACATCCCTGGCAGCCGATAAGATCATCCAACCATAGGTCAAAGGGTAAGGGATAGCAGGTGAAAGGTCGGAGTTCGCAGGTCAGCGCCGCAGGTTGTCGTACTTCATGCGACTGTGGCGCAGCTGGGAGTAAACCGTCTTGTCCTCCTCGCTCTCTCCACCAATCACAGGCCGGCTCTCGCCCTTATCCTCCAGGTCAAGCTGCGCGTACGTGACCTCTGGTGACCTTTGACCCTACAACAGCAGGAGGAGACAGAATAATGATGATGTAAGACGCAAAATTCTGACACAACGCAAACCACAGTTAAACTTTGCTGATTCTACAGTCGGTACTCAATCTGGGGTTTAAGCATCTTTACTGTGTTTATGAATACAAACATTCATCCATGTTGTAAACATGTGGGATGGAGGGAATGAAAGAAGGGCTGCTTGGATGGGTGAACTGGACAGGTTCAGTCGATGTATGGATGAAAATTGACCATCCAGCCACCTTCTATCAGCCTGACAAACAAGGATTACTGATTGATTGATTGATTGATTGATTGATTGATTGATTATTGCCAGTTTTAAGGATGATTTCCATGCACTGAATGGGATAAACCAATGGTTTTGGGTGGTTGACTAACAATTTCTGGAGCTGAATTTTAGCTATATGAGATCTAAGATTGTGTGGTGATGTCACCCATGAAGTTAAGATGATTTTGCCTAACAAGCAGTCGTAACCATGGTTACCTGGAATGCTCGGCAGGGTCAAAGTTCAAAGGTCATTGCCAATCTCTGTAAGCAAAGTCACTCTGGGCAGAAGAAGCAACAGGCATAATGCATTACAAGCAACACAAAAAACTATTTTGTTTGTTAATATTTATACTGTTATTATTAGAAGGTAGACTGGTAAACAAATTATTTGCTTTACTGATGTAGATTTAAAATAAACAAAAATTGCAACAGATGTTCTGAAAAGCATATAAAAGCACTTGCATTAGTACAAAACTAATACTCCATGGATAAAGAGGTGGGAAAAGCACCCGGTTGCCATGACTACAGACCTGGTCAGCCTCCGGCTCCTCTGATTGGTCGAAGTCAGCGATGGTCATAGGGTAAAGGTAAGGGTCGCGGGTTCTCTGCAGGGTGTCATACCCGCTGGGGTCATCGTCCTCCAGGTCATTGCCCTCAGCTGCACCCTCAGAACTCTACAGTGGAACAATGAAAGACATTTTCTTTCAAAGGAATCATCTTCAGAGTGAGTGAGTGTGAGAGTGAGTGAGTGAGTTTAATAGTGAGAGTGAGTGAGTGAGTTTAATAGTGAGAGTGAGTGAGTGAGTGAGTGAGAGAGAGGATGAGTACCTTTAGCTCCTGCATGTCCGGTTGTTTCCCCCGGTTCTTGTTGACGGTCGCATGAGTGAGTGAGTGAGAGGGAGAGGAAGAGACTGAATGAGAGGGAGGATGAGAGGATGAGTACCCTACCTTTAGCTCTTGCGTGTCGGGCTGTTTCCGGTTCTTGTTGACGGTCGCGTACTCGACCGTGGCTCCGTCTGCCGGCCCGTCCTCCAGCAGGATCTCCTGTTCCGTCCGTCCGTCTGTGCGATTCCCAGAAAACCTCACAGCTGCATGGGGGGACAGGAGCCGTGTTGGTAAACTTACATGTAAGTAAACTTAGGTATTAAGTGTTATTTGCCATACATTGTCTCCAATGCAATTGTTGCACAATAAATTTGACTTTACTTAAGGGTTACTAGAGCAGCATTATTCTGTGAACCAATAAGCTTCAATGCTCAAGAAAAGAGAATGATGCCATGAAAGATGCATATGAACAGAAAGCTGGTAAGACAAAAAGAGCATTTAAAAACCAAAGGTAACAAAGAACAGACGTGCTTCTGTTCTTACCTGTGCCGGCGTCGACAGGAATCCCATCCATACGAACGTTCTGCTGCATTCGGTCATAAAACGCCTCCCTAAAAACAGAAACCAGCATTTCAGGAGATGTGAAATATTACCTGTTCTGTACTTACTATCCTGTTGGAAATCACAATGTAGTTTATACAATGTAGGCTCTGACTCGTGTATCAATGAAGAAATCAGCAGAGGAAGTAAAAGGTAAAGTTGTCTGACCCTCGTTTGCGTTTCTTGTAGCGTCTCCAGAGCGGGACGGCTAGCGCGATGAGAACGACCAATAGCAGCACAGCGATAACCCCGCCCACGATTGCGCCTGTGCTGTCCCCGCCAGAGCCACCAGAGGGCGCTAGGGAGACAGTTTTTCTTAATATCTAATAACAATTGGTTTTAATCAGTTATTATTTTTTTATTAATACTAGTTCACAAAACAAAGCTCATGGGAGCCACTTAGATGTTTTGGGTTACTGTACAGCCAGTGAGGACAGATTTTTGTTGACATTGGACTTAAAAAGTGTACGGTTAAACCCATGTGGGAAACAATCACGAGGTAGCTTAAAGCTTATTCCACAGTGAAGTTGTTCTAGGAAAGAACCTTTCATGACTCTTTGCACAGTATTTCTGAAATCTCAGCTCCATTTACTTGGCTACTAGAGGGAGCAAGTCAGCCTTCACAGCCTGATACGTGGATAGTGAGTGTGAGTGAGTGATACGTACCATACATAGAACTTGTGGTCTGGTCTTTTGTAGTGGCTGTTAGAAGAGAAACAGCAGCTACTGGTTAGTTCAGGGCTACAAATCTCAGGTAGAATGACTCAGAAAACTGTTAAAGTATGCATCATGTTCGGTACAAAAAGCACAGCATAATATTAACAGCGCGAAATAGTTTATACTGATTGAGAGTTTCACACCCACCATTGATGGAACTGGTGGCCGTGGTCTGCCATTTTAGTGTCACAGTGGCTGTTATTATAGAAAACCAGTGATGGTTAGAGTTAGTGCAGAACTGGATATATTATAATATAGCAGTGCAAGTCTCATGTAGAGCTACTTAAAGAACACAAACTACTGGTTAATGCAGAACTACAACTGCAGCACAATTAGTCTCATTATTATGATATTGAAATATTTACAGAAACGACTTCTAGTAGGTTAGTGTAAAACAACAGAACAGCAGGGCAAGTCTCAAAGCTTTGTTTAGAGAACACAAACTACTGGTTACTGCAGAACTACACTGGCTACGTATTAAAGCAGAACACGCTAAACTAGGGATGGAGTTTACCCGCTTGTGTTGTCTGTTTCTGTTGCGTTGTCCCCCCGGATGTGAGTGGAATAGGCCGCATTGTCCCCCCGGATGTGAGTGGAACAGGCCGTTCAGTGGTAGGGACTAGCTTTATGTACAAGTCTTTGATGTCACGACTGGTTGGTGTTCCAAGTTCGTCATAAAAATAGCAAGAGAAAGTGCCATGGTTGATTCCAAATGCCAGACACCTGCTAGTAAGGTTCAGACATTTTGCAGCACACTTTTCTACTGTTAAGATGCTGCTGGCATCTCCATCTGGGTCTACAGGAGGCAGAGTCTTGAATTCCATCTGCTCCAAGTGTTGGAAACTTCCCAGTGGATCCACTAGTCCTGAATCTGGGAAAGAACAGAAACAAATCACAGGGTTATACCTCTGGTACTGACATTGTTGATTGTAATTGATAACTGCTGAGATTTAGATTTCTGCAATGTGACTAGATGTCGGCAGGTACAATGTTGAGTACTGCATAACCTGGTGTGTTACGTCATGCCTGCAATTTTACTGTCATAGCTACTTATTTGTCGCTAAAAATGCCTCCTAATAAACAGTGATTTTAGGTGATAAACAAACAAGAAAAACAACAGATGTTACAGATATTAGCATTATTAGTTACAGATGTTACAGATATATTGCTACTTTCCCGTGCCACGCCCATTCTCACCTGTAACCTGGGTAAATATTTACCTTACCTGTGTGTGTGTGGGGGGGGTCAAGTGTTTACCTGCACAGGTGGGCGGTGTAACCTACATACCTGCACACCTGTACACACACCTGTTTTCACCTGTCTGATATACACCTGGCACAGGTAACGTTACACCTGGCCATGACGTCACATGAGGAAGTGTGTGTCACTTTCACAATCGTCTACATGAAAACCAGGGCGTGGAAGTTTCGATGTTATTGTTGAAAAATCGTCCGTAAATTGTCGCGTTTCAATACTTTTATTTCTTCACTTCAGCCATTTTAGACGTTTTAAACGCTTTAGTCGCCCAGCTAGGTGTACACGAGGGGTTAGACGTTACCTGTAGCTGCCAGCACGAGCCCGAAACTCCAGCCGACGGCAGCCAGCACACACCACCGAAACATCGCGGACACGGGTTCCAATCCCACACGCTCGAGACTCCCCTCGCACCTGTGGACACGGGTTCCAATCCTGTAGCACCTGTGGACACGGGTTCCAATCCCACGCACTCCCCTCACTCTCCGGACAATACCGCTCACGCTCTCATACTCGGGACGTTTCAGCAACCCGCAGGAAGTCTCACAGTTTCCTAAGAAGCAGCAGATTTTCGGTCTGGTTTTTCTGATCTCAGAGCAGGAAGTGAATTAAAGAGGCGGGGCGTGACGTCATCGCTGAGGTCAGCCCACTTGACCTGTCGTGCCGCTCCTAACCGACAGGCGGCGCTTCGAAACGCAAACATTTCCACTCAGATTTTCAGACCACTTCTAAAGAAATTTCACACCTTTATTCAAAACAATTCAAACTTTCTGTCTATTCTGTGTTAAGTAAGACGTACGGACAAGAAAATTAACTTTCTGAAATAGAAATAAAATAACTACATAGTTTTGAAGTTCAAAATTACAAAGATATGAATTTGCATATAAAAATAGTACCATATAAAAAAGAAAAACCGGCGACCTAATGATGACGATGACTGGTTTATTGAATAAAACATTTTGCAGCATGTTTTATTACATTCCGTGCCGACCATAACAACTTTAAAATATCATTCTAGATTATTTGTGAATAAAATTAAAATGCAACAAACAAACTTCTTCATGCATAATAAAAAAAAACACATAATAGATTAACAGGCGTTGTTACAGGCGTTGTTACAGGCTTTGTTACAGCCGGGTTGTGCGTGTAGGCTTTGTTACAGGCGTTGTTACAGGCGTTGATACAGGCGTTGTTACAGGCGTTGTTACAGGCGTTGTTACAGGCGTTGTTACAGGCTTTGTTACAGCCGTGTTGTGCGTGTAGGCTTTGTTACAGGCGTTGTTACAGGCGTTGATACAGGCGTTGTTACAGGCGTTGTTACAGGCTTTGTTACAGCCGTGTTGTGCGTGTAGGCGGTTGTACATCAGGCGTTGTTACAGCCGTGTTGTGCGTGTAGGCTTTGTTACAGGCGTTGTTACAGCCGTGTTGTGCGTGTAGGCTTTGTTACAGGCGTTGTTTCAGGCGTTGTTACAGGCGTTGTTACAGCCGTGTTGTGCATGTAGGCGGTTGTACATCAGGTATTGTGTCAGATGTAGGCGGTTGTACATCAGGCGTTGCTACAGTCGTGTTGTGCGTGTAGGCGGTTGTACATCAGGCGTTGTTACAGCCGTGTCGTGCGTGTAGGCGGTTGTACATCAGGCGTTGTTACAGGCGTTGTTACAGGCGTGTTGTGCGTGTAGGCGGTTGTACATCAGGTATTGTTACAGCCGTGTAGTGCGTGTAGGCGGTTGTACATCAGGTATTATTACAGGCGTTGATACAGGCGTTGATACAGGCGTTGTTACAGGCGTTGTTACAGCCGTGTTGTGCATGTAGGCGGTTGTATATCAGGCGGTGTTACAGGCGTTGTTACAGGCGTGTTGTGCGTGTAGGCGGTTGTACATCAGGCGTTGTTACAGGCGGTGTAACAGGCGTTGTTACAGCCGTGTCGTGCGTGTAGGCGGTTGTACATCAGGTATTGTTGTGTCCGTGTAAATGCTGACCACAGAGTCACGATAGCCGTAGATGGAGTCGACTGACGCCCGTGCGTTGCTATGGTAATGCGTTCCCTCCTCCTCGCATGGTGAAGAGCAGAAAACCCTCCTGATGTGTTCCCGGAAGTTTTTTCCGATGAAGGCGTAGAGAAAAGGGTTGATGACGGAGTTGAGGATGGCGAGCGCCGTGGCGACCAGAAACGGCAGGTTACTGTCCCCGTCCGTGTGCCAATGTACCAGCACCGACGTCACGTGGAACGGCAGCCAACACACCAGGAAAAACACCGTCACCACGAAGATCATGTGTAACGTCCGGGAGGTCGATGCCCTCTGTAACGTCCGAGGGGTCGGTGACCTGGCAGCGCGGCTTAACGTCCGAGAGGTCGGTGACCTGGAAGCTCGGGGTCGCGGCTGACGTAAGGCCCGGAAGATCCTGCCATATAAGGGAATGATGACTGCGGCGGGGACGGCGTACATCAGGATGAAGATGACGACAGCCAATGGGAGGAAGGCGTGACCAGAGGCGGCATCATCCCGCCGCAGGTACACGCACTGGAACAGGCTGCCGTACGTGAAGCTCCAGTCTCCCAGCGCCGCGTTCCGTACTGTAGTGTCCAGGGCCGCCACCAGCAGCGCTAACCCCCACATCAGCAGGCAGGTCAGGAAGGCTTTACCCTGCGTGCGGCGGAGCCTGTGCTGCAGAGGCCGGGTGACGGCGCCGTGCCGCTCCGCCGCCGTGGCCGTCAGCAGGAACACGCTCGCGCAGGCCAGGAACACGGCAAGCAGCCGCCCGATGTCGCAGCTCACGGAGCTCTGCATGTAGGCGCCATCCCAGGACAGCTTCACGGCCTGCAGGGAGGTCAGCTGGTCTGGTTCCAGGCTCCGCCACGTGCAGTTGTTAGTCTGTAGCCATGCAGAAGCATTAGACACAGTCTGTAGCCATTCTGCCGTAGCGTTCGGCACAGTCTGTAGCCATTCTGCCGTAGCGTTCGGCACAGTCTGTAGCCATTCTGCCGTAGCGTTTGGCACAGTTTGTAGCCATTCTGCCGTAGACGTGGTACAATTTGACACAGTCTGTAGGTAAGCCGTGGTAGCATTAGACACGGTCCCATTTGCAGTACTGCTTGTACCATTGTCGCCCTGCTGGCAGGAGGCTAGCAGGTTCTGCAGTCTCGTGTCGAAGTAGCGGAACCGCATAGAAAACAGCCCCTGCACGAACGCGAGCAGGCAGAAGCTGGCGTCAGCCACGGCCAGGTTCGCGACGTAGACGTTGGAGATGGTCCGGACGGTTCTGTACCGGGCGATGATGTACAGAATCAGCAGGTTCGCGGCGACTCCTACCGCGGACAGGACGCAGCGGGCTACGTTAGCGATGTACTGGGTGTCCACGTCCATGGTTCTAACGGTCCTGGTCCTAACTCAAGGGGTTGGGAGTTCGAATCCCGGCTATTGCCCCTCACGCCACAGTACGTTTAGCTGTGATCCACTGTTCTTCGAGCTAGGCGAAAATAGCCAGCCCTCACACCTCTGCTTGGAGAGTACTGTTGTAGTTAGTTGTGACTCCACACCTCTGCTTGGAGAGTGCTGTAACAGTTGTAGTTAGCTGTGACTCCACACCTCTGCTTGGAGAGTACTGTTGTAGTTAGCGGTGACTCCACACCTCTGCTTGGAGAGTACTGTTGTAGTTAGCGGTGACTCCACACCTCTGCTTGGAGAGTACTGTTGTAGTTAGTTGTGATTACGTCACGGCTAGGCCGGCTGAAATGTGACCAGCAATAAGCAAATATCAGACGTGTTTAGGGTTAAAACTTTAGCAACAGGATATGATTTTGGAAACGGTTGGACGTTTTAGGTCAGCCTTGTGCTAGTACTGATCATGTTGACTCGAGGCCTGGGCCACCCGGACTCGACATAAAATTTTTCATAAGTCAAGTACTTATATTATTAAGTGAAGGTTAAACATGTAAACATGTGTGAAGGTAATATACTTAGATACGCCAACCAACTGGATATGATTTTGGAAACGGTCAGACATTTCAGATAGCATTCACTACTTGTTACATGCTACGTCAGACGTTTCCAAAATCATATCCTGTTGCTTGAGTAACTGCTTTTTTGGCGTAAGTCATGTACTGATCTTGAGGTGTTACTCTCCAAGCAGACGTTAGGTATCCGTAAATAGTTTCATCAGGTTGGTAAGACACTGAGTAAAGAGACTCTTTTTACACAGCCAACTCTTTTATTCAGCCGACGTTTTGGTGACCGTCTGTCACCTTCCTCAGAGCAATTCTGACTGGTTCACATTGCACTGCAGCACAGGTGTCGCTGCTACAAATGCATTTCCAAACGTTCAATGTTTACATATCTAGACAAATGCGTGAGAATGGTTGTGTAAATGACTATGTACATACACGTCTGTACGTTTGGAACCGCTTCGTGGAATCTGTTCACAGTTCTCTGAACTGTTAAATAACTGACCACCAATATGTATGTATATATACAACTCTCTCACGTTTGGGATCGCATTGTCGATTTTTCTTTTGGTGACTTTTTAGGCAAGAACGTCTAAAAACGTAGAAAAACACGCCTAACATCTGCTTGGAGAGCAGTGAGTTGTGACGCCAGCCCCCTTAGACGGAGGGACAGACAAAATAACAACATAGAGCTATAACAAGGTACCTGAAGCCTTCTGAAGTCACGATTCGTTTCTCAATGTATGATATCTCTGAGTTACAGGCACGGCTAGAGACTGTGGCTGCAAGCAACACAGTCAAGAATGTTATTATTAAGCTTCTTTCCTAGAACTATCGCAGAGTGGAACTCGCTGTCACCAAGTAAAGCAGGGGCATTGCCATTAGATAGCTTTAAACAATGTCTAGAGTTCGAAGTTCAAGGGTTAGGTGTAACAATTCGATCGGTGTGATATAGCCAGCTGCCGCCGCGCCGCATGCCTGCGAAGCTGGTGTGTTACGCCGAAAGGCGGTTATACCGGCTATACAGATACAGAAGCTGGTGTATTACGCCGTTATACCGGATATACAGATACAGACACAGAGAGAGTGTGGCTTCACGCCCTTTAAGCCAAGAATATCATTATATATGTGAGTGGGCGGGTTAGAACCAGCGAATACCTTTACGGAACGCTGCGCGCAACACTGTCAACACTGAAACATGCAGCAGCACACAAAATCTCGCCGGAGGCCAGGTTTACTGTGAGAAAAGTCTGGAATGTGCAGCCAGACAGCAGAAGTTTCGCTAATTCTGCACATAAAGCAAAGCGTAATTACCGGCTACCAGAGGTGTCTAACTTTTGACTTTGTTAAGATCCACAATTAGCTTCGGTTCAGACTGTTTCCTGTGGTTATAGCGATACCGAGAATCGGTACAGGCAGGAAGACTACAAAATGTAAAGCGATGCATTTCTATTATAAAAACTATGTGAATTTATCTCAAGTTGCTTTAAAAGGAGAGAAGAAATCTTCAAGGCCTAGATTAGATACAAGGTATTCTCTTGTAGTTGTTAGACTTTTACGTTATTCTTTTTCCTTGTATCCTATGTATCATGTTACTCAGTATGATGTACGTGTAACATCACACTCTGATGTATGCATTTAGCGCCATGGGCAGGAACGTGCAAGTAAAGATCACTATTAACCCACCTAGCAGATGTTATTTTTGTCAGAAGCCGGCTTCAGCAGTAAGAGAAGAGAGGAGTCTGGGAGTTTCTAACCGCCGGCAGCGAAACGCGGATCACGGGTGCGTGTCCGGAACCCGTCCGACTTCGCGGGGTGGAATTTCGGGCGACTCGGCTCTGGCAAACTTCTGGTGACCTACAGATTCATGAGTTGGGGGGCGTTGACAAGAAACTTCCTGTAGTAGAAAAGCCGCTTAAGACGCCCAGGTGTGCCCTTAAGACGCTCAGCCCCAGGTGTGCCCTTAAGACGTCCAGGTGCTCTATATAAAAGCCTACTAACACTCCAGGTTGCTACTCCAGGTTGCTTGTCGCTCAGGCCCGTGGTGACTAGCGGCATGTAAATCCTGACTCCTACTAACGCCGTTCTCGTGGCTGGAGGCTTGTTGTTCAGGCCTGTCACGCGCGGCGACTAGCGGCAACAAAGTCAATCCTGACTTCGCGGAAAACGTGAGTCACTTAAGCTCGTGGCTGGAGGCGTCTTGCCAGGTCCCCGACAGGTCACGACTTCAGACTGTTGATAAAAAAACAGTCATTATTACGTCATTATACATAGACTGTATCATTATTCAATATTTAATACATCATAGACAGGCAACTGTATCATTATCATAATTACACTGTTACATGGATTTTTTTTACTGAAATTGTGACCATGTACTCAAGTAGAAGGTTAAAATTTGCACAACCGGGCCTTAAAAGATCCCCTTTGTTGTTACTGAACCGCCCCCTACAGTGCGTTTGTGCACCTGATGACCGGAAATGGAGCGTCCCCGTCTCGTGAAGTGGCGGGAGATTGTCAGACGGAACATTCCAAACTTGGGGCGGGGGGGGAGGGGGGTAGGACACACACAGTTTCCGATACAAAAAAGACCATCAGAAGTCTGTGCACAAACAAACCTGTACAGACGATGGTATTCGTTCCCCAAAGGTAATAGCTGTGGTAAAATTGTTCTGTTACAGATAGTTTAGATGTAATACTATATACACCTGATAATGAATCCCAAAGTGAACGGATTGCCGGGGTGTTCCGTTTATGCTTGCCTTTTTCCTTGCTTGACAGACAAAGGTATGAAAAGTCCAAAGTATATGGTACTGTGAAATATTTGTATGGACTTCAAGTCAAATATTCTGAAAATACCGTCAAATGGCACAAACGTAAAAACATTGACTAGTGGACTTCACCTCAATAGCAAAATGTAATAGTCCAAATTCCGACGCACCAATCACGATGCATGTTTGACCGACCAATCACGATCCACGTTCTATAGCGGTGTAGGGAAACTTTCGCGCCGGTGAAACATTCCAGACGTGACAGCCGCTAGCGCTAGCCGTGCAATTTTGAGGTAAGGATTTATAATTCTCTAGCGTAGAATGTCATGTTTTACTCGTGTATTATCTGGAATAGGGTACATAGAGCAGTTTGCTGTGTGTCCTGGCTTATTTTCGCTTGCTTTTAAGACATTTCTGACAGGAACTTTGCCGTTAACTTCAGTAATAGAATGGCGGCATTTCTGACTCCGTGACAGGAATGTCATGTAAATTTTCCTGTCAGAAATTCATTTCATTTTCGTCAAATTGAACTTATTTCACACAGAAGTTTGTCTTTACGGCCAAAGCAGCATAAATGTACAATTTTTCTCCGTATTTCTTAACATTTCCTGTCAGAAATCCTCGAAACGATAGCCCGGGTCTATTCTATAGCTGCATACAAATAGACCGTTAGACGTTACAGAGTTGGATAATTTGTCGGTCAAAATTTGAAGTAGAATTAATTTCCCTCCTCAAGTTTACCTCAGAATCTTCAGATAAAATGTTGTGACATCTAGTAGCATCACTTTTAGGTCGGTTTCAGCAGATTTTATCGGGAAAACTTTGTGAAATGTTGAGTAGCGGTCTCTGGTAGTGGACTCCCGGGAAAACGGGCGGGTTGCCCCGTGTGTTAGCAAACCCCGCTACGGTGATCGGAATCGGCTGCATCGTCTGTCAAAATTTTGAAACAAATTAATTTTCCACCTCAAGTTTACCTCAGAATCGTTAGATAAAATGTTGTGACATCTAGTAGTATCACTCTTGGCTTAGTTTCAGCAGATTTTATTAAGAAAACTTTGAGAAATGTTGAGTAGCGGTTTCACGTAGGAGGTGTCCCGGGAAAACAGGCGGGATGCCCCGTGTGCTGGCAAAACACGCTACGGCGCTACATCGTCCGTCAAAACTTTGAAACAAATTAATTTTCCACCCGATGTTTACCTCAGAATCTTTAGATAAAATGTTGTGACATCTAGTAGTATCACTTTTAGGTCGGTTTTTGCAGATTTTATCGAGGAAATGTTGAAAATGTTGAGACGCGGGAAAAAGGCGGGGTGGTGCGGGGGTTCGGAACTTTCAATATCGTCCGTCAAAATTTAAAGACAAATTAATTTATCCCCTCATGTTTACCTCAGAATCACCAGATAAAATGTTGCGGCATCTAGTGGTAGCGCTTTTAGATTATTTTCCTAAGATTTTATCGAGAAAATGTTGAAAAATGACGGCGGCAGACCGTCTGACTGAGCTGTCAATCATCGCTCGTGTCAGCACGTGGCAAGTGTACATGTTGTGTCAGAAGTTGCATTTAATTGTGATGTTCTCATCAATTTTACCTCACAATTAGGAGATAAAATGTTGTTACATCTAGTAGTACCACTTTCATGTTTATTTTTCTAGTTTTTATAGGGAAAATGTTGAAATGTTGGGTAGCGATCGGTCTCACGTGTGGGCCCCGGTGAAACAGGTGCGGGGTCCCGTGTACGTGTGTAGCCAGACCCGGTACGGGCCGAGGGTTGGGGACTAGCTACGATAGGTACAATCTTAATAGAGC